GGTCTAAATAGGCGGCTGATTTTATTTGCTAAAAGTTTGCTAATACTGGCTCCCAAATAGAGGCGAAGTCTTGAGTAACAACTTGGTCTAAATAGGCGGTTGATTTTACTGTATAACGTATGAATTTTGCTAAAAGTTTGCTCACAATGGCTCCCAAATAGAGGCTAACTCTAGGGCCTGTTTGGTAGGGATTTTGAGAATTGATTTTTTGATCGTTAGAAAAAAATAGGGGTCCACATGTGAGAGAAGAAGTCAAAAATTACGGCTTGAATAGTAAAATAACAGTCAAAAAATCAATTTTTTGGAGCAAAAAATCCCTACCAAACGAGGCCCTAGAGTAACAATTCTAAGAATAAATATTTATAAGTTATCGAGAATATTTTAAAATTAATACTTTTTATTGTAAAAGTACTACTTCCGAGCAAATTTATTTGGCCATGATAGTGAACGTATGGCTGTGTTTTATTTTATATTAAAAGAGAGATTGAAAATAAATAATAAGTTAAATAAGAAAAAAATTAAATTATTGGAATCCACGAAAATTTACTCTCTTAGACAATCAAGGTGGAATTTACATTCGCTTTCCAATTGTCTTTCCAATTGTCATTCTATGAATTACATAAGCCCAATAAATAACATGTTTAGTAAAGATTTTAATTTCGTTAATATTATTTTTTTGATCGTTATTTAGCTATTTCAGTCGTTATTTTTGAATTCTTTTCTCATATGTAGAACACATTTTATCACTAACGATCAAAAAATCAATTGACAAAATTCCTACCAAACAAGTACAATTCGTCTTTGGCTCTATTTTATTTAAAATGTATTTTTCTTTTTTTTTTTAGATACACATTTTCAAATAAAATAATATTATGCTTAAATTTAAATTTGTTTTCTTTTCTAATCATATGTTTTTTAAAAAAAAAAAATCACTATTTTAAAATATATTTTCATCAAAAACACATTCTAACCCCCGTTTGATCCCTTTTTTGAAATGAAAATGAGTGAAATAGTATTTTTTTTTTTTAAAAATGAGATGTTGAAAAAGAAGGAAAATTTTTCAATTTACGTATAATATTTATTATTTTATAAAAAATTGTGTAATTGAAAATATGAGAGAAAAAATAAAATATAATTTAATAGTGGCCAAATGAGGGTTAATTGAACGGCGAGGAGGCAAAATTCAAATCATTAGGGCCCTCATTCGGTGAAATGGTTGAAAAATGTTAGGAAAATGCTGCTTTGGAATTGACTTTTCAACACCCTTTTTTTTAGGTTTCCTTTTACATTCCATATTTACCCCCCAAATATGCAATGTTCAAAGGGATTTGGTTCAATTTGGGGGAGAATGAATGGTAGGCTAGATCCGTAATTTCAAAGAAAAAGTTGAGGATAGGATAGGTAAAAAGCAATTTCTATGGTTGCCTTGTCTAACCATGATTTCTATCAAATGTCCTTTCTTGAAGGAATTTTTCTTAGAAAACTACTATTGAAATCTAATTTGGTTAAAGTTACATTGTCTTAAGGATTTGACAAAAAGCCTAGCATAATTGTATGTGGTAATATATAATTGAATGAAAAATATTGATTGCATTTTAAACGATCTAACAATAAAATATTGTATGATATTATGTCAAACTTTATATCAATATTGATGTTAATATAGAGTCTCTTTGGGCGTGATTTTGAGAATTGATTTTTTGATCGTTAGGAGAAAAGTGGGGTCCACCTGTGAGAGAAGAAGTCAAATATGACGGCTGGTAAGTAAAATAACGGTCAAAAAATTAATTTTTTGGTTGAAAAAATCGGGCCCAAACAGGCTGATAATATGATTAATCTAAGCCCTTGTTTGAGTTTCATTCTTTAAGCCCTTGTTTGAGTTTCATTCTTTAATATGATTAATCTAAGCCCTTGTTTGAGTTTCATTCTTTAAAAAAAAACATATTCTTAAATAGTATTTTGACATCATTTTAAAAACACATTCTTTAATAAAATAATATTACACGTAAATTCAAAACTTTTACTCATTTTTTAACTACATATTTTCCATCAATACACTATTCAAAAATTCATTTTCTCCTAAAAAATGGGGCTCAAACAAGGCCTCATTTTAATGAAAATCAAACAGAGGATAAGAAAGAAGATTTAAGGCTTTGTTTGTCTACCATATTATTTTTTTTACAGTACTAATTTTTAACCACATATTTTTCATTAAAATAATATTACACGTAAATCAAAAAAATTTCTTCTTTTTAATCGCATATTTCAATATCAATCGCTATTTCATAATACATTACTCACAAATAAAAGGGCACAAACACCCCTTAAAAACATTGAGATAATGTCACGTGAGGACACTGTTAAAAATACAAACGAAAGAAAAGGATTAATTCCAATGAAGTCTCCAACCTTAGACAAATGTCAAGTTGAGTCTCTAACTTATCATTTGCAGCACTCAAGTCCTCAACTTCAAAAAGTGTGCGAGTATCATCTTCAACTGAACGAGAATCGTCATTTTAACAATTAAAAAGTCAATTTTTTGTAAAATGGTTTATCTTCTCCTTATTTTAAATTAAGCCATAGGTATAAACGAAGAAAAAAACAATATCTATAAAAAATCAAATATTCAAAATCCTTCCAATTGCAACTCCCATCCCATCTAATCATCAATCACCGTCGCTTCCCTACCCATCACCAATGGCAACCTCTGAAACTATCTAGATCTACCACCAGCAATAGAATTATGGCATAGAAATCACAAAAGTCAAAGGCAATTTTTTTTTAAATCAGAAAAGAAATACTACGAGTAACAAAAGATAACAACAAAGACATAAATTAAACATGTAGGAACAATGAAGAGGTTTCGAAAATAATTGAGAAGCAAGACCAATAAAAAGAAATACCAAAAATGAACAAAAAGTAAGATTAAAGATACAACCCGAGCACACAAAAACAATGAAGAGGGTTTGAAACAAATATGTGAAAGTAGATACATAAATACCTAGAACTAAAACCCAACTTCATTTAGAGCACAATTAATTATTGTGAATTGGAATTGAATTTTGATGGTGTTACACCTCTTTTAAATAAGGCTCCAGATCACCTTCACATGGCAGTCGACTTGCAAGTTAATAAGGCTCACACTCCACATCATTGACCTGCCTGATCGAGGTAGGACCCAAATCAAGGTGATGAATCTCTTTATCCAATATAGGCCGACCCTCCAAGGTCGAGGTGAGGTGCCATGTCTGCTGCATGAAGAAATTCAAAGCAGTTAGCCTTCTAACCGAGAGAAAAGCATATTCTCACATCACCTCTTCCAAGGAGATCTATTGCACAAATCTACCTATGACGAATTGATATATAACTTTGTAACAAATGCCTAAAATGTCAAATTGTCAGTTTATATTTTAGAAGCTTTTGAGTGGTTGCTTATTCGAAGCATTAAATGCCAGTTAGTCTAGGATTGATGAAGCGATCCCTAGGAGAGGATCTCAACCATTAAGTTGATATTACGTGTCACTTCATTGAATAGTATCACGCGCTCCAACTATAAAAGCTTACACATTGTATAATTTTGAAGGGAAAGAAACTTTATACACACAAACAAAAAATTGCTCTCTTTCTCTCATTTTACTTGCTCTCTTTCTCTCATTTCTTACACTTTCCTAGCATTCATATACTTGTAGCTCGAGTCCCTACACTGAATACTTAATAATCTTCAACTGACTTAATCGTCTATGCTCGCGACTGTCTCCCTAACACTGAAGAAGTCCACATGTTACTACGATTTTGTCCGAGCATATAGGAGCATATCTATGTGGACCTGAGTGGAGCTCACATCTGTTTGCCAAACTAGAGTTGTAAAATCTGAGGTCAACGAGTGGTGTTGGTGGCAATGGTACAATTCCAAGAAAACAATGCAATTTGAGGTTTAGGTGAACTTTTAAGAGGCATTTATGACAACTATAATTTTTTTAGTATTTGTGACGGTTGATGACTTACAGGTTAATTTTGGTTTTTTCCCCTAAATATTGGCTGAAAAAGTAGATATTGTAGTTTTTGAGTAATTAAAAAAATTAGATAACTTAATTGATCATTTCAAGAATTCGAGGTATATTGCTAGGTAATGTTTATAAAAAGATGTTTAAGGACATGATATTTTATTGTTGTTTAGTAAAACTTTTTGTTTGATAAAAGGCAAATCGAGCTTCATTTTCAACCATATATTTAATTAAAAATCTAAGATTTTTAGCAACATTGCACAGTCTCATAACCGCCCTTCACATCCACTCTCACCTAATGCTTGCAAATTTGAATCCGTGACCATCGATGTCAACCATTGGTGATGGGTGGCAACCGGCGGTGTTAGAATTTTGGATGGGTAATGGTTGCAAAATAAGATCGTTGGGGGTAGTTGTATCTTTTGAGGGAGTCTACAATTCAGAGTTTTGAATTTTATATTATGTTTTTATTTTTCAATTTCTTTTCTTCTTATATAAATTAAAAGAAGGTTACGTACAAAAACTTCAATATTTTAAAGTCAAACCAAACGGACGATTCGCATCAAGTTAGGAGTTAGGACTTTGCTCACACATAAAAAGGTTGGAAAACTGCTTACAACGTTCGGTATGTACAAAGACCTAAACAATACACTTATCAAAAGTTGAGGGATTTAGATGCAATTTATCTTACAAAAATGGAGAAAAACCTGTTTGAAATTTGAAAAATTTGGAAAGCAAAAAAAGAAGAAAAAAAAAAAAAAGACACTTTATTAGGCGCTTCTAGAATTTAAGAGAGTGAGCAAAATTTCTCTCTCTAGTTCCATGATGCCGTTCATAAATAGAGATGGGACGGAGAAGAATTATTCAAACAATCAGTAATTTAAATTGGCTACAAAATATCTCATTCTTCGGCAGTTTGCTCTGAAATTTGATCTAGGGATATGTCGACGTCGGAAATTAAATCGGACGGAACTGCATTGTATATTTCGACGACCGACGACAATACCGCGTCGTCACAGCCCCTTAATACTCCGAAACTTCCAGGTCGACTCCGGCGCCGACTTCTGGAGTGTAAAAGCTCTCCTGTTTCTGCTCAAGATATCGATGCCAAGCTCCGTGATGCTGATCTACGCCGGCAAGTATGTAGTCTCTCTCTGATTTTTTGTCTTCCTTCTAGTTTCAGCTCTAGTTTGATGTATCATAATTCTTTTTCTCTAAAAAAAAAATCGAAATGTGAGATCGATACACTTTTTCCTTGAATTAAAATTTAATCATTAGGGGGAATGTGTGCCTATAGTAAAAGAGAAATGGAAAATTAGGCCGATATATGTTTTGAAGGAACTTGAATTGTTTGACATTTGGAAAGATTGAATTTTTAAGCAACAACAGAATGTACTCAGGTAACCTTTTCTTTATTCATGGAGAAAGCAAGCAACTGCTTTCTGTACTTTGAGTGTTCTATGCAGATTTCTCGTTGGATAAATTGAGTTTTTGTAATAATTATTTTGCCAATTGAGTTTTTGTAATAATTGTTTTGCCAAAAAAATTAAAAGCTAAATGTAATGCGCACTTTGCACATTATAATTCTTACTTCAAAGGTTTTTTTTGGCAAGCCTTCTTCATAGTTAAATGTAGTGATTTTGAAGCATAGTTTGTGTGCATATGTAGTTGCAACCTTGTGGTTTCCGTTAAAAAATAAGCATGCTGAATCAATTTTCTGCTATGCTTCATGCATTTGTTATAGTATGTTTTCCTCCCAACGTTTCTTTGAAAGAAATTGAGCATTATTTTCTGTTATTTATCACCACTTAAATATTAATTGGAAAAACTAACATTTTTAACTCATAAATATCAATTGCGATAACTAACATTTTGAATTTTCTGATCTGACATGACATGTATGATACTATGAAGGTGCATGAAGAGCGTTAAATTATTGAAAGAAAATTTACTACTGAGTTGATTTCTAGTTCTTTCGGTTGAAGAATACAAAGGAGACTAATTATTTAGACGAGACTGAAAATCTGAGGACCTTTAAGGAGAGAATCTGTGGCATTATGATGCAACTGCAACTCGGTTCTTGGTCATGTGGAACCATCCTAAGCAGGACAGGATTTGACTGGAGTTTGGCATGTGGACCTAGAAACCAAAGAGAAGTGTAGAAGTGAGGGCAGAGTTTCATATTTTATTAAACCTTAATTAGGTTTGATTTAGCCGAACAGATGATATTTGGTTAAGTTTTTGTATGGTTGATATTAACTAAAAACACCGAGATTGTTTTTCCATATTTTACCCAATTTTTGCTACTGAAATTTGGAGTCAATGAGCTTTGGAGTGTAAATCTTTATATATTGCATCTCATTTAAACTTAATTTATGTACATAGTGGGCTACAAGTTTAGCTCCTGTTTGGTGGGGAGTAAAATTAAAATTTTAGTGGATTTTGATAAAAGTTGATAAAATGTGTTGTTGAAAGTTGTGGGTCCAATAAAATATGTGGTTAAAATTAATTGTTTATTTTGACTTAGATTAAAATCTGAATTTTAGTTTCTACCAAACTAGGGCTTAGTAAAGCATGTTCAAAGTTTTTCGAATGAAGTGGATGTTGACATAGCTATGTTAATAGTTGAAATTTACTCATCAGTAATAAATTTTTTCTGACAATTGATCTATATTTCTAAAATGTAAATATTAATGTGTCTATTTCTACAACTTTTGACATGCATAGACCTCCCAACTTTAATGGTAATGTCTGTCGAATGCAGCAATTCTATGCATCATTATCAAGCAAAGCAAGAACAAAGACAACATCTTGTGCATGTTCATCTTCGCAGGAGAAAGTCATAGGTGGTCGACTTGAAACCAAGCTTAATGCAGCTGAGCAGAAGAGGTAATTTCTTTTTAAATACATTTCCTTCTTCTGTTCATGATTTGTTGGACCAGTTGCTATGGTAATATTGCCATTTGGATTTGAACAAGTAATAAAAAAAAAAAAAAAGTATATTTTACTTTAGATTATAGTATAAAACAATTGAATATAAAATGTAAAAATGATAATCTTTTTTTCTATTCGTTTGATGCTATACAATCAGGTTGAGCATCCTAAAAGATATTCAGGATCGCTTGGCTAGAATGGACGAGCTGCGGCAAGCTGCTAAAAATGGAGTAGAAATGGGTTTCATGAGAAAGTGCAACGAGCTTGGGGTGAAAGTGAAATCACGTGTGCATCAGGCAGAGGTAAACCGAATGGCGCATCTAAAAGTTTGTAGACAACGTGGGGCTGCAATGAGAGAAAGGGCTGTACAGTCCGTAATGAGAAAGCTGAATCAGGAGAGCAAGTATAAGGAGTGTGTTCGAGCAGCTATTCACCAGAAGCGTGCTGCTGCTGAGAAGAAACGATTAGGATTATTGGAAGCAGAGAAATCTAGGGCACGTGCTAGGTACTTGAAGGTCCTTCGAGCAGCTAACTCTGTCTGCTGTCAACGGGAGACAGTGAGAAACAAATTAAAGGAGCAGTTGGAAGAGCGGCTGCAGAGGGTATTCTTTTATTTGAAGATTCAGGAAAATGCATATCTTCTTAAAGTATATATTAGTTCTGCATTTATATATTTTCCCTTTTAACTTTTTTGGGATTCTGGGCTTTTTCCTTTTCTTTATCCAAATACCAGGCCAAGAGACATAGGACAGAGTACTTAAGGATGAGGGCAAGTGTGCGCTTTCCAAGTCGGGGCTCATCAGAAATGATTAAGCACGGGGAGTGTCTGTCAAGTAAGCTAGCAAGGTATATAAACGCTAAGATTCTTGCATGTCCATGGATGTATCATATATGTGAATGTTTACGTGCTCGGTTGTCCGATATATGTGTCTCAGAAATATGTGTCTCAGTTCAGTGTTTTGTGATTTCAGATTCTTGTTCTGCACTCTTTCAAGCTCTCTGGACTTTTTTTTTGTCTAAAAATTTATGGTCTCCAGGAATTTCATTATTCATGTGGGATACATGATAATGAGAATGGGCTACTGCCTACTGTGCTATACATCACCAGTGCCAATTGAGAGAGTGATAATGATAGAATTACATTTTACATCATTTTTACTTAACTATATCATCTTGCATGCCAAATAATATGGAATTGTAAAGTTGCTAATTGAGATCACATAAGAGTCTGAACTTCCAAAAAAGCATTTGTGGCACATATGTTCTTCCTTGCACACAGGTTTGGCTAGTTCGTTTTGACAAAATGACAAAGCTTAATCTTCAACTCTGAAGACCACAACCACATTGGTTTCGGAAAAATAAAGATTTTTGACCTTGTGATAGAGACTTAACATTCTTTTGCTTGTCATCTCTCCACACCTTCCAATGAAAGTCCCTTCGGTAGATCAGTTGAACTTGCTTTTAATTATCCTGCTTTCTTTTTCTTAACTCATTCTCATCATCTTCAACTATGTATTAAAATGGTTCGATTTCTAGAAATAGTGTTTGATTAAATTTGTGAACCCGCTAGAGCTGAATGAAGTGTGTGACGTGTTGAGCCTGAGGGAAGTTATCTGACATTGTCTCTTAAAGATACTGGATGAGTATGTGGCAGATTGAGCTTGTTTTCAGAGCTAGTGTGAAGATATATTATGATCTATGTGACCCTGCACATCTGGGATAAATGTATACAAGTATCAGATTGTCCACTAAACGTCAGTTTGGCAAATTTATAAATGGTTTATAAAGTGGAATCATAGTGGCTTCCACGAAATGTGTGGATAATATTGATTAGTAATTGTAAATATGTGGTTGAAATTAATGTTTGACTTATCTATAAACCATTTATATAATATTATCCAAACAGAGGCTAATATATTGTATTTCAGGTGCTGGAAGCGGTTTGTGAAGCTGAAAGGAACTACACATGACTTGTCAAAATCATATGCATCTTTGGAAATCAATCGAAAATCTGTCGATTTAATGCCATTCGAGAGGCTTGCTAAGCTGATTGAGTCTGGCTCTACCATTCAAACTGCAAAAACTTTACTTGACCGACTTGAAAGTCGCATTGCTATTAGACAGGAAACTGTTAGTGCCAATAATAATTTCCATTTGGAGAACATTGAACATCTGCTCAAACGAGTTGCATCGCTCAGCAAAAGTGTTGGCACGCCTAATGCTTCTGGAAGCACAGGGGTTAAAAAAATAGGAAGTGCTGTACCTAATGGTTCTACTAGGTTTCATAGGTATCCAGTGCGAATTGTTCTTTGTGCTTACTTGATTTTAGGACATCCAGACACTATTTTCAGTGGGAAGGGGGAGAATGACACTGCCCTTGCTGAGGCTACAGAAACCTTTATTAAAGAGTTTGAATTATTGGTTAAAATTATTTTGGAAGGGCCTATTCAGTCTACATTAAAGGAATCTGGCTTGACAACTGCTGGTCAGCTGAAATTTAGTTCCCAGCTGGAAACATTTGATAAAGCATGGTGTTCTTACCTGTATTGCTTTGTCATGTGGAAGGTTAAGGACATAAAATCTTTAGAGGAGGATTTAGTGCGAGCTGCCTGTGATCTTGAGGCCTTGAGGATACAGACTTGCGAGCAGATTCCAGGTAGAGATAGTGGTGATCACAAACTCATGAAAGTATTTGTTGATCAGGTACGAGCCAGCCCAAGTTATGTTCAGTTATTTGGTTTCAGTTAAAATTCTTAACTGGGTATCATTTTTGTGTGCTATATTTGTTATTTTAGGTGAGCGAGAACCTGAAGCTTCTGCAGTTGAAAGTACAGCAATTGAGTGGTAATGTTGGGCTTGAACGTATGGAAAGTGCTCTTTCTGATACACGGACGAGGTTTATTGATGTCATGGTGCTGGGGAGTTCACTGGCATCCTCATCCGATCATGTTTTTTTTAGCGCTGCTGGCTCATCACACGACTCTTCAAGTTGTGATTCTAGAGATGATAATGTGGTGGAAGGTCATAAGAGGGTGGGATACATTGTTCCCTCTTTGTCCAAGGGGGATGATTCCTCCTTATATGGCGAAGTTGGTTCTGCTACTCATGGTGTTTTAGATGATCATCAGAACACCAGTTCAAGGCTGGTAAAGGATAATGAAATGCTTGTCAATGACATTGTCCATGGGATTGATAGTGGTTTAGCAGATGGCTTGAACGTCACTAATGACAACTTAGGGAGTATCAAGGTTAGCATTAGTGCACTTTGAGCTTCCCTATCCCTGAGTCATGCCTGCCAAAAAAGATATATCGAAGAGTTCCTATCCTTGGATTATTGTTCATTAACTTTGCTTATGTTTTGTATGGGGTAGATAGAATAATGTAACCTCATTTTGATTGTCTTTTGTCATTGTGTAGACAAAGGTGAGAGACACCATGGAGAAGGCTTTCTGGGATGGTGTCATGGAATCTTTGAAGCAGGACAACCCGGATTATAGTTGGGTTCTTAAGCTTGTACAAGAAGTCCGGGATGAACTAATTGAAATTGCTCCTTCAATTTGGAGACAAGATATAGATCAAAGCATTGACATGGATATTCTCTCACAGGTGGATAATCTTAATTTTGCAATTATTAAGCTTCCAACTCCACTTTCAATTCCCTGTATTTAGGATTACTTGGAAATTATCACATTTTAGCCCCCATTTTGTTCCTATTTAGGTGTTGAAATCTAGAACATTAGACACGGGATATCTGGGAAGGATCTTGGAATTTGCGTTGGTCACGTTGCAGAAACTTTCTACACCTGCTAAAGAGGATGAAATGAAATCTACTCATTACAAGCTACTGAAAGAACTTAATGAAATTTCTCAAGCTGGAGATATATCTACTGCTTCATTCGCTAATTTGGTCATTAGGGGCTTGCGTCATGTTCTCCAGGAGATTCAGGTGTGTTGGCAGGTCCAATGCCTTTTATCATTTAAAGTTTCCTACTTGATATTTTTTCTGGTGTTCAGCTTTTGATGATTCTTGTCGAGGCCATTAACTGTAGTTATCCTTTTAAACTGTATTTTGTTCTCACTACAAAGAGAGGTATTTATATTGAAGAATCAATTGCAGTTTATTGCCCTTTTGTATTGGTGGTCCATTGTCCACCCTAAAGTCTGTGGCTTGTTTCTCTCTGCGTCCATGTTTCAATTTTTAATGCAACTCCACAAGTGATAGAATCACACACGTTGAATTGTACTACCTCTATCCAAAAGGATTATCCTACTCTCTGTTTATGAAAATTCTGTGAACTTTTTGCACTTAAGAATTAACTTTTAAGAGTACATGGATATAAAATTATTCGCTAATCATCGGCAGGAACTCAAGCATGACATAAGTAAAGCACGCATCATGATGTTGCAACCACTCATCAAAGGGCCTGCTGGTTACGAATACCTTAGAAATGCTTTTGCCAATCGTTATGGATCTCCTATTGATGGCCCTCGCTCTTTGCCCTTAGTAAAGCAATGGCTTTCTGCTGTGATGGCTGATTCAGAGCAGATCTGGGATGAACTCTTGGATTCTCTATCAGCTCTAGGATTAAGTAATGTAAGATATAGTCAAGAACCTTCTCCTACAATGCTCAGGACCGGAGGTAACATTTTAAGGACATCGACATTGGATGTTCAACCCAACACTGTTGCAGGTTTGTTTGGTGACTTTTGCTTTTAATTCTTCTTAATTACCTTTACTGTTTGCTTTACCTGTTTGTTTGTCCTTTTTTAAATCCATGTGAAACTGTCAATCAGAGAACACTATTGAATTGTTAACAATTTCATTTCAAAAATGTTTATGTAGAGGCTGAACAACCAGAGTGCAGTGGAGAAAAGCTTGATCTCTTGTTGAGGCTTGGTTTATTAAAGCTTGTGAGTGATGTTGAGGGGTTGACAGTGGAAATGCTCCCTGAGCCGCTTAAACTAAATCTCTTCAGATTGAGGGCTATTCAGTCTCAACTTCAAAAAATAATAGTCATCTGTACTAGGTGAGTGAAATCCTTATATAATGTCTCTTGGTTTTTCAAATTATATTTTCTTTTCAGCATTACATGTGGCCTAGATAAGTGTGAATAAAAATATGTAATGATCCTTTTCCTGAAAAAACAAATTAAAATTGCCATTCAGCAGTATCAAATGCTGTTTGATTTGGAATCCAGCACATAATGTGTCCCTTTATTTGATATTGCAGTTGAATGTGATAGAATCGTTGACAAACAAAGACTTAATTTCTCTGCAATGTAATTGGGCGCACCATTGCTGCTACTATTACATTTTGTCGTTAGTTAGATAACATTATTATAGTTTTGGGTTTAATAATATCTATTAAATATCTTGTATAAGAGTCGGGAGGATAATTTTCCAGTGGATGGTCAGAATGTCCGATAAATACATTTCTAATGTCTCGAACGATTGCATTCTATTTAAGTCAACCATAATTGCCTAAAGATGAAAACGAATGAAAAAAAAAATTATGGAAAAAACACTGATTAACACACAGTTTTCTTTCCATGTAGGCTTATTAAAAGCGGGAGGGTGCTATTTTTAAAATTTTATTTTTCTAAATAGTGTATATTGAACTATTTTGTTGCAAGACTGAATGTGAAAGTCTGTTTTTCAGCATATTAGTTTTGCGTCAAACCCTTGTGAGCGAACACCTGGTAATTAGCCTCAAGGACATGGAGAATGTGATATACAACTCTAGAAAGCGGCTGTCTGAACTCTTGGATCACTCCGAGGATGTCGGATTATCGAAAATTGTTGAAACGATTAGCTGGTCTCCAGAATGTGAAGACCCAGAAAAGACCCAAGCAAGGAAGGAGGTTATGGAGAATACGTTGGGAAGGAGCTTAAGAGCTGGTGATGACGTTTTCACACGAGTTTCTCGAAGTGTCCACTTGGCGGCAAGAGGAGTTGTGCTTGGTGGGACCGGAGCTAAGGGTCGGCAGCTAGCGGAGATGGCACTTAAACGTGTTGGGGCTGCTCTTCTCGTAGATAAGGTGGTGGATGCTACGCGTGGACTGGTTGTGATGGCAAATGTCTCGGCCAGGGTTCATGGAGATTGGTATGAACAAGTGCTCATGAATATATGATTACTTTCTCCTTTTCCGTCGTTTCTTATTAATCGTAAAATTGTCGGGATTTATATATCGTCGGAACTAGATGCATTAAGAGTTATTGCTGTGTGTGATTAATTGTGATTGTGCAAGGGGAACCACTTGGCCTCACTGAAGCTGTTGTACAAGTAAAATTTGAGTGTGTGTCTCGTCTAACGTACTAATGTCAGGAAGAAATTTCATGATAAAGTTGTTCCTTGTTTTGAAACACCATGTCGCCCCTGTTTGATATATATTTTACTTTTGTTTCTTGTAGAAAAGCTCTAAAAAGTACCTTAAAATTTATTTGAAAACTAATTTTTGAAAGAGCTTTCTATAACGAAAGTGGTTTTAGGGGAAGTCATGTCAGGTTATTATTATTATTATAATTTTTTAAAAGCGCTTCTAATTAGAAGTGATTTTATAAAATTAGTCAAATGAGTCTAAATGGTTTTTAGATATCAAAAGTTTCTCTTCTTTTCAAAAATCGTGTCAAATGGCCATTTCGTAGTTCTTAAAAGATTTCCTTAGTTTGAGAGGAAGTCACGTTGAATTAATTTTCTTTAAAAGTTCATTTAATTTGAAGAAGTGATCTTATAAAATTATTTAAATGAGTCTAAAATTAGTTTTTAAATCTTAAAAGTTTCTTGCCTTTTCAAAAATTGTGTCAAATGGGCATTTTGTAGTTCTTTAAACATTTCCTCAGTTTCAACGAAGACAATTCATTAATATCTGCGCTAGAATAATTCTTCATAAAGAACAAAATGGTGCGTTAAAATTTCGGGAAATAATAGCATTTTTTTTTGTTCTTGATATACTTGTCAAGTTGTAGAGATACTTTTGTTTTGCTGCAGAATCTAAATTTTATTTTCATAAATAGAACGAGCACTAGGGTTGGATATGGGCTGGATCGGTTCGGTTCGGTTCGATTCTCGTTAGAATTGAATCGGACCTAAAATTTTTGTGTATAACGAGAACTGAACCGAACCTAGAATTTTTGTGTATTTAGTAATTGGAATCGTAGGGTCCAAATTTAATTATGAAACAATTCGAATTTGGTTCCATTCGGTTGCATTTGTTTCGTATTATAATTAAATTTTTTTAATATTTATAAAGTTACATTAATTTAACTAATGATATGTTCAATCTTAGTTCTTACAAAATAACGTAATCTAATCTTATATATCTTTTGCGTTTCTTTTTATTGAGTTTTTTTTATAGATTTGATTGTTAAAGTCAGAAAAATGAAGATAGTGAGCTCACAATAATTAAAAGAGACGTTGTCGAGTTTTATTTCGATTTTTTCAGAACGGTAGAAATGACACTATAGTAACAGATTTGGATAAAACTTAAGTCAGTTTGATTATGTTGCCTTTGTACTGAAAATTAGAAATAGGAAAATTATATTTTTGGGTTTGAACTAAATTAACTAGTTAACAAATTTATTTAGAAAAAATAAAATAGTTTGGGTTATTTAAAATAAATTAATTAAAAAAAATTAGGGAGATTCGGTTCTTGATCTAGAACCGAGAATCGAACCAAATCCATCGATTGTCGATTCAGATACCTGTTTGGGTATTTAACTTAAGAAGAACCGTTCGGTTTGGTTTTAGAGTTTTGTCCAACCCTTACGAGCACGTACTTTTTTTTTTGAATCATTTGCACTTCATTTTTATTTGAGAAAAGAAGTTTATGATATTTATAAGCTATGTAAACTTGGAAAAAATGTATTTCATGTTATAAAGATTAATTGTTCATATAAATGTATTAATTTTGTGGTTCTATCTATGTAAATTAGTGCTCTAAAAAACGTAATACATGATGATGTGTGGAGGTTAAGTTTCGATCGATGAGTGCCTAATTGAGGTTTCAGCCAAAAAAGGCGTGGAAAAAAGTTTTCTTATTTTTATATTATTTAAAATTTTTAATTAATTTAAAAATTATTTAATAATACATAAAAATTATAGTATTAAATGCAGTTTTAAGAGTTAAACAAAATAAAAATATTTTCTAACAATAAATAAGATATATATTAAAATATAGCTAATTGAAATATTTGAGGAGTTTTTAATTTTTATTAATTAGCAAAAGAAAGGAAAATGATTAATTAACTTATAAACAATAAATAACTATTTATACGATAGTACAACGCATTACAGTCAAACAAACGGTAATACACTACTATCAAATCAAAAGTGCAAAATATTGCAGACAAATCAAATGTACAATGTACTACAGTCAAATTATAGGGATTCTTATTCTACATCGAATGTTTACAACAATATTCTTAGAAATGCCTTCTGTAAATTAGTGGACAAATAAGTAGGTAAGCAGGTTTTTGGATATTTCAATCTATGGTCTAAAAGTTGAAAAATTTATATAGGAAAATTTCATATATAAGAGATTAAGTACGATCCATTTCAAAACTAAGAAACAGTGTTTAAAACTTCAAAAATCAAACACTAATTAAATTTTATTTATGAAATAATTAATTAAAAATATATTTTATTAATTAAATATATTAAAGTCACAATTTTATACTATTTGATCACAAATTATCGAAAATTAAATGGTCACAAATTATTTCTTGATCATGAATAACAAAATTTATAGGTCACAAATTATTTCAGTCACATAAAAAATTTTATTGGTCACAAATTTATTTATCAAGCACCAATTACAAAGTTTTATAAGACACGATTCAAAGTTACATTATTCATTTGTCATTAAATATACAATATATTGATCACAATCTAAAATAATTGGTTACATATTATTTATTGGTCACATATTAACCAATTTATTGTTTATAATCAACTAAATAATTGGTCACAAACTCTATCCCACCAAAAACCATCACACCACTGCCACGACCACCGTCACCCCCATGACCACAACCACTTCACCACCACGATCACCAACATATCACCATTTTCAAATGCAAAACCACCATTAGATCCACTGTCTGATCCAACAAGAATCACCCCAATTGCCTTCTACCACCTTCACTACCAACAAAAAACGTTGCCACTACCAAATTTAATAAAACCATCATCACCTCCAAATCCAACAGTCATTGCTATCCAAACATCGCCAGCACCCACAAACTACCATCACCATAACACGAACACCAAAACCAGAACATTGCTCGATGAGGATGAAAGCCAGCAAATTAGATCTTGAACCAGAAACGTCGTCATAGCTATTGATGTCAATCTGACTCATCTGCTTTGATGGCTCACGGCTCGAGTTGACTTTGCTCGTGGCTTGATGCTCTTTTTTGAATGACGGTTCAAGCTCGCCATACGGGCTGGCTCACCTGATAGACTGGGATGACAATTTTTCATTCCGACCCTATAAAATTAGAATTTGGGTCAAATGACTCATCGCTATACTCAAGGCTGACCCTGGCCCAAGGCAACCAAGGCCATTGCCTATGACCTCCAATTTGAAGGGGCCTCAAAAGAAAAATTAAAACTTCAAGACCAACAAAATATTTCCTTGTTTTTTTGGGTAGGGTCTCTAGTCCTTTAAAATACAGCAACAATATTGGTCTAAATAAGAGGCCCAAATTACTTGGGTCATTAACTTACATTCTTGTTTAAGAAATAAAATGGATCTATAATTAAACTATTGCCTAGTGTTATATTTTGTTGTATTTTTCTATCTACCAGGATGGCAAGATCTACCAAAAAAAAAAAAAAAAAAAATAATAAAAATAAAAAAAACAAGAATCAATGCATAAAAAAAAAAAAATTAAAGAAATTTTCCCTATAATGTTTTCCTAACCTTATAAAATTTCTTTAAAATATATATATATATATATATATATATATATATTAAAGAGACTTCTATATTTACTAATAAAATTATATTTAAGGGTCTCGTCACGATTTGTTGCCTAGGGCCTCATAAATTTCAGGGCTGCCCTTGGCCATACTAGTTGAAATATGGCCCTCCACAGGCTCGATTACCTGCCCATGGATACTTCAAGCAGGCAGTTGTCTGAAGTAGCTTGAACACAGGTAGTTCTTAAAGTAGTCTGCTTCAGGCAGGCGACTACTTGTCGCTTGTCTTAATAGACAAAAAGCCTGCTTGCTTTCTGGCTGCATATCTTAGTAAAAGAAAAAATCGAGCTAGCTCGATAATGCCCAAGCCTAAAACTAGAATCAAGCCTCAGTTTTTCGATCGAGTTCTGGCCTGAATTAGGCAAAAATGCTCAAGTCATTTTTGCTCAGGCCGTGTCCAAGCCGCAATCTTCGGCTCGTGAGCTGACTAGTTTATATTCGTAGCCCAATCCCATTCATCTCTTGAAAACCACAAAAATCCCTCTCAACTTCGTTCTCAAATCGTGTTGCAGTCTTGTTGGTGGACGTTGCTTGCCTTCGATGGTGGTTGTGTGAGGATCGCCTTTGCCGTTGACTGTTGAATTTGGATGGCGCAGAGAAGGAGTCGAGAGAGATTGGAGGGGAGAGATACAATGAGAGGAGAAATTTTGATTGGTTTAAGGATTAGTTTAATTTTATATTATTATTAATATTTAAAGTTTCAATTATCTGATTTTTGAAAAATAATCTTGTACATCTTAATTTTGAATTGAGAAGCTTAAAACTCTGGCTCTATGTAATAATCACAATTTATAATTATTAATTTTTGGACCTTTCAATTCAATTGGTTTAAAAGTTAGAAGACTTTATGTAGGCTAGGGTGGACGAGCCTTTTAAGAATCGTAATATAATAAAAAGTTAAAAAATAATAATGCTTAAAGCATTAAGCGCTTTCGTTGATCATTAAATTAGTGCATAGGTCCATGCCACGCCTCGCACCTAGGCAGGCCATTTAGATCACCGATATAAGAGAGGTTACAAAATAACATGAAGAGATTGGGAATGTGCAAAAGTAGAATTTTCTACATTCATTTGATCATTAAATTAGCACATAGGTCCATCCCTCACAGCTAGGCGGGCCATTTAGAACACCGATGTAGAGAGGTTACAAAATAACATAAAGGGATTTTTTTTTGGAATGTGCAAAAGTAGAATTTTGTACATTATTAGAGTATTTTCAAGACAATTTTTAAACATAAAATACTTTCTATTTTAAAGAGTCAACGTTTAAAATTATGCTCCAAAAGATTTTTTAAGTTAAAATTTTAAAACAGAGAGTGAGTTTGACTCTTGAAATTTAGAGAGCTAAATCAACTCTCTATAATTAAATGTATTCAAAATATTT